TTTCCCTAATGGCTGCCCTATCTTGTATCTCTATCAACAATGTCTAGGTGTTAGAAAAGGCTAGTCTTCAGCATCCGAGTGAGATAGTGACCATGGCAACATGGCCAGAAACTAACTTAGCCACAGATGGGAACTTTTGTCATTATCCCATCCAGCTGCCATGAGGAAGTAGTCAGGGAGCAGAATAGAAGTCCCCCTACAAACAGCCATCCACTCACATTCGGACAAAACTCCTTCCTGCCTATTGCTCCCATTCTAACTAGCATTACTTGAGGGCTCATTGGTCCCTAGATGTGGAACAACAAGCAGAAAGCAAAATTCTCACAGCATCCCAGACGGTCCGTGAATGCTGCTAGGCACACGGGCACACAGCAGCCTTGTCTCCCAGCTGCCCCCTTCCCCATTCTGTTTTGTGCCCATCAACGCTACAGTCCAGTCGCAGCACCTCTGATCAGTGTTGTCCCATCGTCTGGAGCCCTGTGAGTGGTCATGTGACACTCTTCTCTAAGTGTAACTCTGTGACCAAGTAAAGGAAGTGAAGAGAATCACAGACACTGGAAATAACCGAGTCACACTGAAAAGCCAGCCCCTCCTCTTCCTGTCTGCAGGAGTTAGCTAGCGCTGCTATAACGAAGTATCACACAATGGGAGACCAACACTGAAAAATGCTTTCACAATTCCAAAGGCTAGAACCGCAAGATCAAGATGCCAGTGGGTTCGGTCCTTCTGAAAGCTATAGGGAAGGGCTTCTTAAAAATCTTTCTCCCTCTGTCTTAGAAATTACCATCTTCATGTTCGTGTGTTATTCTCTCTCCCTTCTTCCCTCCCTTTCTCCCTTCCCCCTCATATGTTTCCTTCAACTTCCCCTTTTATAAGGATACCAGTGATATTGTACTAGGGCCAATCCTAATGCCCTTGTTTTAACCTGTCCACCTCTGCAAAGTCCCAGTCCACATAGGAATGAGTGCTTTGGTGGTGAGGGGAATGGGTGAGATATGAATAGGAGAGGGTGTACCCAATCCATCCCTGGTATTCTTTGGACTATTTTGACTTGCAGTATTTACAGGCATGGCATCCCTAAGAACTAGCCTTGAAACCAGCCCTTAGTTCTATGATGAGAACCAACAGCAGCTAGGTCTTTGGCCCTGAAGCATCATTTTTAGTTCTCTAAGCCTTGGTTTCTAAATTCAAAATGAAGGAAATAATTTGCACCTTGCTTACTCCGCCAAGCTACTGTGAGCATCTAATGAGACAGTAAATATGCCAGCATTGTGGAAAAAAAAAAAAAATAAGTGTGCCCTGAATGGGATACAGCATCGCCGGGTCATGATTAGTAGAAGCAGTGAGAATAAAGGATTCAGAGCCTAGGAAGAGCCCCAGCCCCAGCCTGCGAGCTGAAGAAACCTGCTCCACTTAAAAAGTCATCCTTTTTATTCCTCCCCGGAGAAAACCCCACAGTGTTCCCTACTTGTGGAACAGTTCCCTGTTTGGATGAATTACAAGTTTCATTCACTCCGCAAGCATCCCAACCCAACCTACATGCATCCTGCTACAGCCAAGCTCATTCCGGCTTGAGTTCCAGGGAACTGCTCGCCCCATCCCTGACATTTCTGAATCTGCCCTTCCTTTAAGTCAGCCGTCCTCTGGCCCAGCACTTGCCATGAGCAAGACACTGAACCTGGTAGGAGGGGCTCAGGGCTGGAAAAGGACATTTTGGATCTTCTGTTGTTCACAGTCCATAGCCCAAACGTTCCCAGGGTGCCAAACATCTCTTCTCCTTAAGAAACATCCCTGTTCTGATACCTGTTTCTGTGCACATAGCATTGATTAAGTCTTTGCCCTCCTCAGACAGTGCCCTTACAAGCCAAATACAAATGACGTTAAACTTTGCTATGAACGGTCTTTCTAAGCCAAGGCTCCCTTCATTCATTTTCCATGAGGCCTTTGGGGAGTCTGAGTGGTTCTGACAATGATGAAGCCAAAGAGAGCAGCCTACTTGAAGCAGACCTCATATCCCCCATACCTTGAGGTTCAAAACTAACATCTGTGATTCTACTCCCCTGTCCATCTCAGAGACAAGCAAGGGGACAGGCTGGTGCTGGACGACCTCACAAAGAAAGATCACATTCTCTGTGTAGTGTTGTATTGTAGTCTCCCCTAATAGCCTCATGGGTTTTTTGGTTTTGGTTTTATTTCACTTGAATGTTTCCCCAAGCCCACACGACTACTTTTTGCTTCCTCCTTGGTCTATGTATGATCAAGTATGTCTGACAATGCTCTTCGTCCCCAGAGGGGCACTCACATTCCCCTGCCTCATCCACTTCTGTCCCTGCCGTGGGCTTCCATGTGTGGATTTGGTGAGTTTTATTTTGGCTCCACAAGTCTCTCAGAAGAGCATCCCAGATTTTGTGTGTGACAAGCTAGCTACTCCTCACTTCAGCAGTCCTCCAGCTCACTTGTTCTCAGAGGGATCCCCATGGCTTCCCCTCACTTCTCAGCAAAGACTCTGCCAGAGAGCCCTCTCACTTAATAAATTTCTGCAGTGTGCTTATTAGCGCCTTGTAATGTAGCCGCCTAAATAATTAAGACTAACCCACACGTGTCAAATTAAATGAGCCAAATACATTGAGAAATTACCTCGTCCTCAATTTCTTTTATTAATCAGAGCTTTTTTAAAAAAAATTTCCCTGCTCATTTACAAAAATCAAGTACAGTCAGAGAGACTCTTGCTTATAATAACTGCGTGAGTGTTCAGCCACCCCTCCACCACTCACTTGGGAGGGATCCCAGTACGGGACACATAAAATATAAGTTAGTTCGCGTTGTTGAGACAGACACTGTGGACAACTAGATAAGACAGGTTGTTTATACTCCAATCTTTATAACTTCCCCTTATGTTCACCTGCGAGTGTGGGAAACTGCTCAGAAGGGAGAGGAAACATCAGCCACATCCTTTCAGCTTCTTCTGTCCTCCTCCCTCAGTGAACCCCACAGAGTCCCTGCTAGACTCAATCTAGTAGCCCACGCTCCCTCCTCCAGTGGAAGCCACCACTGATGTGCTTTGGGCAGGTGTAAGCCAATGATAAATATAATAGGAACCATCAACCATCATTTCCTTCTGTGCCTGTCATCCTAACGGTCAGGCTAAGTCTTCCTATTGGCAGCACCTGGACTTTAGATGCAAGCTCAGGCAAAAAGTTTTTGTTAGCTGGAGCTAGGAGCCTCCTCACAGCGTGTATGTCCTCTGGCCCCTCTGCACGCCGCATTCCTGCCTTTTGGAGGTGGCTATTAGAAGGAATCCACAAATATAGTAAGTAAACATCAAAGGGGCTTTGATCCACGCGGCCCTTGACAGAACAGAAGCCCCTGAAGAAAGGGCCAAGGCCTTGGATGGGAGAACTTAACATGTCGGTTTGGGCGCCGGAGATAGGAAGCTGTTTGAAATGAGGGTGGTTTGGCTGCGCCTTCAGATGCTTGAGCGAGTGTGCAGGGGGAAGGCAGGGAAGGTGCCTTCAGAAACAGCACCCCTGGATCTGCCTCTCTGCTCTGCACTAATACTCAATAACTCCCTTTAAAAGATCAGGAGATCAAAGCTGGTGACCTCCCTGGGCTGTGGCGTCCTACCACCACCTGCCAAGCTTTGTTTTTCCCTAGGACATGAGCCCCTAAGCTTGACTTATCTGTTCTCGGGGGTCCTACACCTTTTTCATGCTGTTGTCTTCAGAGGCTGGACCTGAGCAGCAGCAGAGAAATGCTGAGCATCGTGAGCAGAGGCAGGAGGAGGACTCATCCCACTCTTCCTAGTCTCTGACAAAGACACCTGCAGGTGGAAGGCCAAGGACACACCCAGGCCACGGATAAGTGTGGCACTGCTCAGTAGGAACCTCCTTCTCTGAGATCGTGGGTGGAAGCATCTGTGTAGCAGGAATCTTGACAAGATTCCGTGAGGTGTGGTTGCAGTCATGTGCTCTCTAGGACAATATCAGGTGCCCATTTGCCCAGTTTAGGGCAGCAGTCACATTTGTTGGGTTTCTGAACAAACAGGTGGGAATGAGGAGGCGAAAGCATCAAAAGCAGTCCCTCAACACTGTTGAGCCCCCCACCCTCCGTCGGTGTTGTGTGAACAGCAATGGCTTATCCACATAGGGCAAAGCATTGCTGTGGAGTCAAAAATTAAAGTGGATGTGAAATTGTTTCAGAAGTCTTAAAGCACCCAAGACAAGTCAGGACTAAGATCCAAATACCAGAGTGTTTAGCTTGCCTTCTAGTGAAGCAGATGAACTCAAGTCCAACACTCGCACATAACATAAGCTGGTTTATAAAATACTGGGATTTGCTACCCAAAAGTTGCTCTTCTTGTTCTTCTGGGAATGTCATTCATGCTATGGGTCCTCCTGTCTCTCACTACTGCTGATCCCTGTGCTCTACGTCTATACTTCCCAAGTTCTAGATGCTGTTGCTGAACCGTGCCTGCCCATAGGGATACACGGGAATCAGCAACTGCAGAAACCCACCCTCCCAGAAGGTTGAACATACCCTGCCTATCCCTTGCCTCTGTCTTCTCCACTCTCTCTTTTCATCTTGAGTCACCCACTGTGTCTGGTCATGCTATTCCACTCTGGATACTACCAGAGGCTCCTGTTCAGCTAGTCTGAGCACAGTTTCAAAGTGACTTAGTCATGGTCCCCAACCCTAGACTATAAAAATCCCATATAACCCAGAGTAATAGTTATGAGAATGGATTCTAGAGTCTAATTTCAAATCCTGACTCCAGCACCTGCTTACTTCATGCATTTGTAAATGAAGACTGTAGAAAATGGAAAGCACAATGCTCTGTGCCTTACACGCAATTGTGGGCATCAAGCAAAAGCTACAGATTCTAAGTTATGCCCGGGACATAAGTGCTGTAGAAACATTTATTAATTAGCCACCGCCTCCTGCTAAGAAGTCTCCTCACACCTGACCCATTCCCAACTCACCTACCTATATTTTCCTTCCAGAGCTTGGCCTCCAGAAGAGAGGATGCTGTCTGGTGCTGGGCTACATGGCCAAGGACAAGTTTCGGAGAATGAATGAAGGTCAGTGAGAAACTGTCCTCCCATCGTGGGTCAGACCATGAGGGGAGGGTGTGCCTACCACTGTGGTGCAGAGGAACCTACCCAAGGAACACACAACAGCTCAGGAGGGAGAGTGGGAGGCTCAGCTTGATCTTCGTGGTGCTGTTGACACAGGGAGGTAGCTGTTGCCAAAGCACTGGATGATAATGCATGCTTTTCTTTTGCTCTCTCCTCTTCCCCCATGTGTCCCTTACTTTTCTTTCTTTCACTTCCCTGCCTTTGCTCTTCTACCCTCTTACCCAGTCCAGCAAAATCTGTTTCCATTATCATTCTATTTCAAAGTTCTCCCTCCTTCTCTTGAATTGACAGCACCTTATAGGGCACTCAGGAGAATCATAAAGTATAAGGCAACATTATACTTCCCAGAGCCTGCCTTTAGAGACTTTCCCAACTCCACAGACTGAATTCTGTCTCCCACCCAGGGGTGGTTCTGCCTTCCTCAAGCATGGGGTCTTTCCTGAGGATCACTTGTGTCCCAGAGAACTTGGGAGAATGTATTGACTTTGACATGGGGGCTGGTATGAGAGAATATCACTGTCACTTATGGATCTGCTGTAATAAAAAGCCAATCCTCTCCATCCCCAGCCATCTGTCTCCATGCAACTAATAACCCTCTTCATCAGATGCCACAGACTGTTTGTCAGGGTTCAAAGGCAGCTAGACAATGGCTGGGGATACCATTTATTCATTAAAGTCAGACAAATGAAGCCTTGGCTTCTTCCCACCAGCCCAGCTTGCCATGAGCTGCTCCCTCCCCCCATCAGGGCTCATAGCTCCTGTTGCTCCCTTCCCACTCCAAGCTAAAGAGAGGCAAAACACCCCTATGATCTGGCCATGAGTTACATGGTACACAGCCCTGTGCCTCCTCCCTACATTCAATAGCTGCCTCTCCTTCCAAGTCGCCATCCATGACACTCATGCCTCTGTATGTGGCCCCAACCAGAACCCTGGCTGGCTGTTTTCCCGCCACCAAAACCCATCAAGATGACACTCTGCTAGGAGTTAGGTCCTAGTAAGTCAGTCCAGGAAGCTCGTATCTCTTACATTCACTGCCTGCCTGTTCAAGAAAACAGCAGCTTCCAGAAGCCACTTATCAACTATAGGAGCCCCATGGCTGAGCATAGCCAGAGGTTTGGGCTGCATACTTGTGGCAAGGCCATCAGTCTTTTTCATTGACTTTTTTTCTTTCTCATCACCCTCTCTCTCTCCCCGTTCTCAACACAGCCGCCCAGAAGAGAGTGGTTGTAGGCAGTAACTTCTAATTTGTGGGAACTGACAGCGTGGCTCTGTCCGTGGTGCTGAATAGGCATGTTCTCTTACTGAAGATGCTCATTACAGAAACAGGCTGGGCTCTTAGGGATTGGAAGAGAAAACAAAAGGGAACTGGGCTGCGCTTAGATCTGACTGAAGCTCCAGGTGTCTGACCCCAGCTTCTAAGTGGCCAAGAATCAAGGGGTGTTGAGCAATCTGAGCCAAGATGTGTGATAAGTCTCAACTAACAAAATGGAGACAGCTAGGGGAGCCCCACAGTGTGGTAGAACAGTCACGTGCAGTGTATTAGCTCCGATTCTGGAAGAGTCCAAGTCACAATGAGAAGAGGAGCGAGGTGTCTGCTTCCAGGTCAGACAGACTTGCTTTGCCAAGTGCCAGACAGCACATTCGCTCTCTTCTGAAGCTCATGTGCTCTTTAAGGAAGCAAATGAGAGGCATAGTCTGCTTGGGTTTCTCAAACCTCAACCCGTTTTCAGATAAGAAAGGCATCCACAAACACAGAGACTGTTTATGGTTTATAATTATCTCTAAGCAATACTCAAAATAATTATAACCCCTACATGTTAATAATTGAACAGGAATAGCAGCCATGACATCAATCAAGCAACAGACTTCTTGGCCCATGCCAGACAACACACCTCGGTATGATTTGAACAACTGGTAAAACAGAAAAAAAAATTCTCCAAGTGGCCAGAATTCAAGAGCTATTGGTATAATTATCTGCTTCTTCCATTAGAGATAAAGTAGGAATCTCTTTATTTCCATTTCAGAATAAATATAAAAGCTTTGCTTGTGCTGTATTAAAGCATATTTGTTTTGTTTAACAGCATCTAATAAGGTGTCTGTCACCCAGGGAGAAGCAATCCCCTATTTCATTTGTTTCCCTGTTAATTTCATATCTCCTTGTATTTTTTTTTCTCCACCACCACCACCTCCTTCTCACTACATTCCAAAAAATAATAAACATTTGAGCAGGAGCAAAAGGAAAATAATGAATGAACAAGAGCCTTAGAGATCTGGGGCTTGTCGTATGTTAGAGTAATTGCAATTGGTGCTGTTAAACTATACAAAGCAATAAAAAGAAAATGCTATTCAAAAATCATTTAAGGAAGCATCTGATAGTCAATGAGAGAGTTGCTCTATTTGGGAGTGCTTAGTAGCTTCTTGGAGAAAATCTGTAGTATTTGCAGGAATGGGGGTGGTTGGTAAATGTTGTGGGAAAGAGTTCTTTCCCATTTGGACTCAACAATCTGGGTATCCAACAGGGCAATAGGCAGAAATCAGCTAAGGGCAGACAAGGATGGAGGGATACAGACTGGCGGGGCCCAGGATGTCGGGGTTGTCTGATATCATTGTCTCCCGGTGATTAAGAACTCAGGACTTGAAAGGAGCTGTTGGAAAGAGGTTGTTTATTTCTTCATCAAACATTCATTGAAAAGCATAAAAATGATACCAATTTTTCATAATAAGTGTCAGGCTCCATTGTAAGCAGCAGAGCTGTTAAACTGAATAAGACACAGTCCCTGCCCATAAGGACCTCACAGGAAAATCACAAGGCATGTCTCACTAAAAAAACATCTCCATGAAAAGCACCTGCTCATGCCTCACCTAACCCAGAGCTCCCCCCCTTCACACACACACACACCGTATGTGCCACCTGGTCAACCAGTCTGGTCTCTTTGCCGTGTGTATCACAGTTTGGGGTGGCCCATCAACTTCCGGCTTGTGTACTGTGGGGCCCCAGCTGTGGAAGAAGGAGGACCTCACCTCCATCTTTTCACATCCTTGGAACATAGCTCAGTGACTCACACATAGAAGAGAGTCACTTACGATAATTCCTTAGGTAAATGTTTAATCAGAGGCTGTGAGTCACAATAGAAGAATATCAAAAGTCACCCGCAAGTATCAGCTGGGTCTTAAGAAGGAACAGCTACTTATATAATGTATCTCTAGGCTGACCGTGCTTTAATACCAGAACTTGGAAAGCAGGGGCAAGCGGATCTCTGTGAGCTCTAGACCAGTGTGGCCTACATAGCAGGTTCCAGGCCGGTCAGAAACATAGCGAGACCCTGACTGGGGTTGTCTTTCCATCTTCAGCAGCACCCTGAGTCTCAGGCTCCCCTTAGTTACAGGTTTACAGGCCCCTCAAAACCCAGGCAGAGTGGAAAAGAAGGTCAGAAAGATTGCCCTTGCCCATTGTGAAACAAAGGCAGAACATTATAGGGAGATCTAGATGGAGGGGCACAAGTCCCTTAGGAACCAGAGAGTTCTGTGAGGCCCATTCTGAGAAGGATAAACATGGAAGAGTGTGATTAAAGGAGAGAGGGGGCTAGGAATTCTTGGCCCCCTTTCTGACTGGCCCCTGGTCCTGTACTGGAGTGGGTCTGCCCAGGTAAGTTTCCTACATAGAGGTGCCCTCTTGAGCTGCAGAGGGAGGCAGACAACAAACTTTCAGGATTTTCAGAATCCCAGTGTGTGACTGCCTCTCTCAGTTCAGTGAAGGTAAAATAGCAACGCCTCCCAATGCTGGAGCCACACCGTGATCAGTACAACACCTCAGACTGACTGAAAACTCTGGCCTCCTGGAGCACCCAAGAAAGATGAAGCCAGATGCTTGGCCCCCGAGCCAGTTCATAGCTCCTGAGTACAGAACAACACGGATCTACTATCCCCTAATAGAGACATTAAAAAAGAGAGCTGTCCCATAGTTGGAGCAAGTATGTGAAGCTTATCCTGACAAGACCCTGGACACCTAGAGTTCAGCCCTCAAACGCAAAGTTGAATAGTTTGGATAAGGTCGCCTGTAAGGCTTTATATCAGTTTGCTTTTCTATTGCTGTGATAAAACACTGAACAAAAATAACATGGGAAGGAAAAGGTTTATTTGCCTGACAGTTGAGGGAAGCCAGGGCAGGAGCTCAGGGAAGGAACCTGGAGGCAGGAACATCAAAGAGGAGTGCTGCTTACTGGTTTGTCCCTTGCGTCTTGCTCAGCCTGTTTTCCTATGTATAAGAAAACCCCAGGACCACCTGCCCAGGGTGGCACTGCCCATAGTGAGCTGGGCCCTCCCACATTAATGGTCATGAAAATGCCACCACAGCCTTACCCACAGACCAAGCTGGCAGACCAATTCTTCATTTGAAGTTTCCCCTTCCCAGATGATGCTAGCACATGTCAAGTGGACAGAAACCAAATGACAAAGTCTCTAAATTGTGGTGATGAGAACTCTAAACTGCCTCTCAACTCACTGCCCACACCTCTCTCTCTCTCTCTCTCTCTCTCTCTCTCTCTCTCTCTCTCTCTCTCTCTCTCTCTAATCCCATAATGTTGCATGCTCTGGTGATCAAGATGAATCCCTGGTCACCAAAGGAGTCGGTTTTAAGTAGAGTGGTTTTACCAATTGCCCCAAAGCATTTCAGCGTTTCTTTATCCTGCCTCTCCTTGCAGAGAAGATTGAGGTCCTGTTGACTTCGATGACACCCGACCTGCAAACGAACTGTGCTTCTTTCAGTGCAAAGAGGAGACAGGAGTAGGCAGGCTGGGACTTCCGCCCAAAGCCCAGAACCTAGGAACGGCAAGACCCATTTGTGGGGGCAGCTCTTGCCACAAGACTCCTTGAGACCAGTTTGGCTCATGCAGAGGACGCACAATCATTTTCCTGAGAGCATTCCTGAGGTGCCTGCCATGGTC